GGATAGGTGGAGTCGAAGGCCAGATTCTGGGTGTACCACAAAAAATATGATAAAATGCATTCAGCGAAGGAGGGACAAAAGAAAAGGATACAGACAAGCGTGTACAATACACATACACCATTTCGGTGGGCCTCAATACCTTTGGCACCAACCCTGAATCCAGATTAAGAAGAGATAGGTTCAATCGTGTCTGTGAGCGTCTCAGTAAGAGCTCTTACTTGAAATATGTGCAATAATGAGAGTCAACCAAGAAACTGACATTGGTACTTTGGTGATACTTTGATCGCTTAGGGAGAGTTAAAAACTGACGTGGAAGCCCTTGTATCAGCTTGAACAATTAATGGTGATTAAGCTATCATTCAATAATTCGTTATATTTTTAAAGTCTACTTACAATGAATATGAGTAGTGTGCTCAAGCATCATTACGAATCCCATCATATATATATATATATATATATGTGATTTGAGCGATGCGATGTGTCACAACGAAGCTGACAACTTCTGTTTCGAGTCTAGTAATCCAGGCAGGATAGAATTGGGAGGAAAACTTGATTATATTCTAAAGTGACCTAGAATAAGTTCCCATTTAAGCATTATTGATATTTTTTGGAGATTACTGATAGTGAACATAAATAATGTGGCTTATTTAATTGCAAGTTAAAACTCGATGCCAGAGCATACCTCCACTTGAAGCCGACAGATGTCTCTTGCCTGGCAGAAGCCTTCACATTCCTCCTTTGTAATAAATCGGTTCGCGTTGCCAAAGCAGCCACCATAAGCCAGTGTCAGGCACCTTCTCTCCTGCCAGTTGTAGTACCAGCGTAGTTCAAAGTGAGTGCAACCGCCGTGGTCTTTTGGTAGACGGCACACGTCTATACAAGACAAATGATGAAAGTCAGTTACGACATGCTTGAGGTGTGTGTGTATGTGTGCCTGCCCTCTAAGAGGTTGGGCCCCAATCCTCCCTCTCTGCATCCGCACTACGTCCAAGCCTCGGCAACCAGAGACCTATCTTAGTGAAAGATTTTAGCGAAGATTCCAGCAGTTTCGGCAAGTATGAGACTCAGTGCTTGTCAGGTCCACAACAGAGCTGCAAAAATGACTTGCATTCATACCAAATCAACTCTTAGGCCTGCATAAGATTCGAGATTTACCAATTGCTCCGAACCCTAATTACTATAAACATAAGTAACGCAATCGATTCTAACGCCTGGAGGATAATACCTTTTGGGAAGCAGGGCTATGTTAAATTCAATGGGAATATGAGGTATACTCATTTCATTGTGATAAAAGCAAACTACCATGTTACTTATGATTAGTTTATAAATAGGTTTTCGAGACTACCAGTAGAGCATTTATATATGAACTTATTCACCCTATTTCGTTTAAAGTGATGAGTGGAATGATAGTTGAATTTTTCCCACAATGTTATAAATAGGTCTTACATTTACATTGAAGTTCACATTGTATTGCTTTCTATATAAATGATTTACTGGTAGTCTAGAAAACCTACTTATAAACGAAACATAAGTAACGTAGTTGATTGCTATAGTAAATACAAAGCAAGGCTATGTGAAATTCAATGGAAACATCAACTCTACTCATATCATTGTGGGAAAATTCTACTACCAGTCCTTTATCATCTTAAACGAAATAGGGTGAACATTTATCATATGACAAAATAGAGGTTTGCTTAATCAATAATCTTGCTATGAAGATGTCATATGGTAAAGCCATAGTCTTCTTTCAAATTCACATCTTACCCGTCACCCATGGACATTAATTCTGATATTGTGGAAGACCTCAACTATCCGTCGCTAACTCATCTTAAGCTAATTAGGCTGAATGAGCTCTCATTTAAGAATTACTTGTTGTCTTGACCCTTGCCTATATGGAAAATGAGTAACGCCGTCTATTTCAATTGCAAACACATGTTTGCTTGATTGAGAGTGCACGCTACACTTCCCGAGTTTGACTCCGACTGGAGTTGCAGATGAGATCTTGGCTTTGGTCAGGTGGAAAATACACTGCAGACTAAACCAGATGAGAATAATAGGAATTCAATGAAACAGCGAGGCCTATTAATCTGATAATGGGAAAATGCAAGTATTAATTCATCACGTTATGTGGTTTATAGTGAATGGAACTATTTG